GTGAGCTATTGTGTGGGGAGCGTACTGGTGCACTATGGCTGCCGTCACATCATCCAGGTGGGGGCTACACACTGCTGGTGGTGTAGGGGAGTCCCCATTACCTGTTAAGCGCTTTGAGTGGAGTGTCCAGAAAAGGAATGATCCATTATTATGATTATTATAATGTATAGACAGTAGAAAATCATTCCCAGAGCATTTGTCACCCCAGCCTGGGGCCCTCACGCGAGGTCGCGCTGCGCTCTGTGACGTCCGCGTTCTTTCCGGCGGACGTGCGCGCCTCCGCAGCCCGACGTGAACGCGTTCGCGGAGCGGAAGCGAGACCTGAGGCCAACCGCCGGGGAAGAGGAGAGACACAGAGAGAGAGGAGATCGCAGATCTGTGAAAGGGTGACGCGGTGCAGTGGGCTGGTTTTCCTTGAGGAGGATGTTTACGATCTAGTTCACCCCGATCCAGCCGCGTTTACAGCAAACGAGGAAAGTGGAAATCGCCTTCTCCTCCTGACGGGCTGCGGGTCCGGTGTGCTAGCCGTCCGGTTCGCCGGTGAGGGGGACATGTTGGCGCGCCTGGTGTCGGGGACAGACGCCGATCGCCCCGGGGCCTGAGCCGAGCCGACCGCGCAGGAGATTCACGATGCGCCGGCGGTAGCGACAGAGGGAGCCGACGAAGACCAGACTTGGGCGGTGAAGTCAACCTGAGGACTCGGATAAACCAGGTCGAGGTAGGCGTGTGGCGACGGATCTCCGCTGTCTTTGGAGGGAGGGTGGGGGGAGATGGCACCTCTGCGATGGTGTCCCGACACCGGGAGCCCCCTCTGTCCCGGCAGGGCGACGGGAAGACGAATCGTAATGAGTCTTTCCGAGACGCTAAGAGACTCATTTTGACACACACACAGACACACACACACACAGACACACACACACACAGACACACAGACACACACACACACAGACACACACACACAGAGCCCAGTCTCAGGAGAGAGAGGAAGACGGGGAACCAGCCTCGATGGTGTTGTTTGTTGTTTTTTTTCACAAGCTGTCAAAGCCTCGGCCCCTCCGCTGTCCGTTGAACCTGAACTTCGGGAAGTGTGTGCGTGGGGATTTGTGTGTGTGTGTGTTTGTGTGTGGTCCGGCCTGCTGCTGCTGCTGAAGTTTGAGAGTTGCACACACCACTGTGCGGGGGGAGAAACCAGGCTGCCTGCTGTCGCGGCGAGGGCAGAAGCGAGTGGAATTTAAAAATAATCACAAGTGTCATCGTCGACTCGGTAAGCTTCTCTCTCTTCCGTAGTTCCCGGGGATTTCTCCTTTATTATTTTTGTGCTGGGGAGAACAGCCGCATAGTATAGGTAACGTATCAAGTTACTCGTCTTTTCGCCTTTTTTTAGGTTTTGTTTTGTAGTATGAACGGATTTTGAAGGACTTTCGAGTGTCAAAAAGTCCACATAACACCCCCCCCACACACACACACACCCTGGTTTAACTTCAAAACTCCTAGACGGGAGGTGTCGTGTTTTGTTCTGTTACATATATTTTTTTTAAAGGCACACAAGTAGCAGTTTACTGGAGCTTTGAACTGAGATTCAATAAATGCGATTGTCAAGCAAAGTTCTTTTTCTGTTGGCGAAATATTCCGGTTTCGTGGAGGAAAATGGTTTTCAAAAGTGGCATGAGCTACGTTGACCGGTTTTCTATCTTATTCAGCGTTTTATTGTCATCATCAAACACGATATTTTGACGTATTTGCAATAAGCGCAGGTTGTTTAGGTATTATACTTAAAAAGGTTAAGTACAACTGACGTATTACCTTAATTATATAATGTACAGTTGCTATAGTATTATCAGCACATCTGTTATTATTATGTAGCCTTTCCACCCACACTGCAGTGCGAATTCTTTGGAAATTGCAGCCCACAGAAGACTTATATCTAAACACATATCTTCACATGTTGAAGCATGCATAAACATACCATGAGCTCGTGTTGTATAATAGCTACCTGGAAAATTACTGGAAAGTTTTGGAAAGCTAAACTGAAGTGCTAATGTCAAAAGGGAATTTTGTTTAAATATTGTGACGTCGCCTTAAAACTGTGTAGTTCTAGGGACAAGAGATGTTCCTTTGTAACGCCAGATTGTGGATAATGGGCTTGATCTGCCCAGCTACACAGGAAAGTCCCTGTGTTTCTTTAGAGAAAGGCTGAATGAGACTTTCTGATCGATAAGCTATTAGCAACGCAATGAGCAAGATAAGGCCAGCATAGATTTCTTTACTTCTTAACCCTTCTTGTGTTCTTATCCGTCCAATATCAGAAAGTGTCTTATTCCTTGTAAGGACTGCAGCAGTCCCAGAGCCCACCCCGGTAGAATATATAATCTGTATGATTCTATAGAGATAAGTAAAGGCTGGCAGATTACCTGCAGGTACTAAGGAGGGTATCAGAAGCTATTTCTGGCACTTAGGAGGGTGGGAGAGCACCACAGTGCCCAGAGAACATGCAGACTCCACACAGAACATTCTCCAGGCCAGAATTGAGCCCAGGGCTCCAGAGCTGAGAGGCAGCAGTGCGTGCCAGTGTGCAACCCTTGTGTTAGATTTGCATTATTATATGTTGTTGTGCTTATTATATTGATTATTATATGACTGTTAAACTTATAATTTAAAAACAAACACCTGGATTACTTGGGATACCTTCATTAATATACGTGACCTGCAGTAGTGCTTCGCTGTGTGGTTTTTCTTCAGATCGGTTTTAAAGAAATATGACATTTGTAGCATTTATGCCCAGAATGGGATGGAAATGGAAATAGTGGAATGGCGCCTGTGACCGAGGCTGGGAATGAGGTTGGTTTCTCTTGCAGGTGGGGCTTGCCTCTCTCTGCGCCGTGTCTCTGTATCACACACAGGCTGTGCTGAACCCCCCTGTGGGAGACCAGCCGGTCCCAGGCAGTGCAGAGCTCTCCCTGCGGGAGACCAGCCGGTCCCAGGCAGTGCAGAGCTCTCCCTGTGCTGCCGTGACTGGTTTCCCAGAGAAAAACATTCCTGGAACACTTAGTCATAGCCTGTTGTTTGGGAAGGAGTTGTTGAATCAGTGGAAATCCCTTCTCTCTGGGTGACATTCGCAAACACAGCCGCTCTCTGACCGGGAGAGTTCGGCTCCTCTCCTTGCTTCGTTGGTTTTCCGGTGGTCGACAGTACATAAGAAAATGGTGTCTTTGGAAGAATCGCCTACTTGTGTGTGAAAAGACCAATCTGTGTCTGTGCGGACGAGGGTGTCGGGACCGGGCTCGCTGTGCGCCCTTCCAGGCGGAGAGTCAGTGTGCTGGGGCCGGCAGCTCCTCAGCTCCTCTACCTCTGGCACTGGGGGTGGGTTTTGTTGTGGATGCGTGTTCCCACTGCTGGGAATCTGGCTTCCCCCATACTCCCGTGTTCCAGCATGTCGCTGCTTTATCCAGAAAGCGTTTCTTCCTTGCATGCTCGGGTTAAATGTGTAGCCCCTGCAATAATAAATATCTGTTCTGGTTTTCTTTTTCCATAGAATGAATTCTTCATATCAGATCTTTTTTTCCCCCTTTTCCCTGCAGACATTGGGAGCCTGAAATACTGCAGCCATGGTGCAGAAGTACCAGTCCCCTGTGCGGGTTTACAAACACCCTTTCGAGCTGGTCATGGCGGTGAGTTGGAACGTCTCTTCCCTAAATGCCTGTGCTGTCCGTGCAGGTCTGTTGCGCCAGAGCAAGCCTGTAGTGAGTGATGAGAGAGTGGCTTCGCCCTTTTCATAGAGCTGGGGGCCCAGTATGGAGAGCAGGTTTGTGTTTCACTGCATGGAGAAGAGGTTGCAACATGGATCTCTTTGTCTGGGGACGGGAAGTGCTGAACTGGCCCAGTCAGTAACGTTCTAACTCTTTCCAGAGAGAAGCAGCACCGTTCAAGAACAAGTTAACCTTGGTTTAGGGTCTCGCACTGCTGTCGGACGTGCTGTGATCGTTTGTGTTTGTTACTTTGCAAAGCTCAGAGCTGTAGCCCCTTGATGGCACCAGGTCCAGGAGTTCTGGTAGTTCTGTCTCTCACTGCTTGTTCTATCTCGGTCTTTCCTGTTAAAGCCAAATGCCTTTTAACAGTGTTTTTCTTGTCTGTGGCTCTTGAGTCATGATTCAGAAGTGCACCACCCTGGAAACCATTGCACATATGCATTGTGCATTTGTAAATACTCAGTTTTCTCTTTTTTAGTGCTAATTGTTTTCAGTAATCAATAACCAGCATTTCAGCAATTAATGATAAGAAGTACAGGACCATATCGGACTCACTGTGGTTAGTGTTAAGATATACACTGATTTTCCTGCTCTGTGCTGATGAGCCACCTGCTGTTTTTAGTTATTGTGGGTGGAGGTCATTACTGTCATAGTCTATTCATGTGATTGGCAATGGGGGACGGACTCATCTGTGAGCAGGCAGACCCTGTTACGGTTGTGCAACCCTGATATTTGTTTTGTAATAAAGCTTTCATTCTTTCATCATTAATAGGCATCCATGCTAAATAGTTAAAGAAATATGAGAATGTGTCTTAGCAGCTGTGTTTACAAGGGTAATATTTTGAGATGTCTGCTTCCACAAAGCTGTTTTCGGTTACTGAATCTTGCACGAAAGTTGCATCTACACCCTTTGACTTAACATACACCTTTATAAAGTTCTAAAAAGTGGATCCACTCAGTGTCGGCCAATCATGTGACTCCTCTGACTTCTGGAAAATGTTGCGCATCATGGTTTGGTATTTTCTATGACTTTGTCACTGTTTCTAAAGTTATATCCCTGAAGGGAAGTGAACTGCATGAACCCAAGAGAAAGAATATAAGTCAAATACAAGGGGTCATTTTTTATCTTCTTGTTAATAGACTGAATAAAAAGTGAATTTGAAATGTTCCTATCTGGCTGTAGAGGAATAACTCTGAAAGACATAAGAGGGTTAAAATTGATCTTGTCAGATCTCCCCATCTGTTGGGGAACTCCAGGCAAGAAACCAAAATAACCCAGGCAGTCCTTTCTCATTCATGATTAGGATTAGGAAGGCAGTCTGTACGAAGTGTATCCCTAGGTCTTGTCCTGATGTCCCTGGTAAGTAGAGCATCAAATCGGGAGCCAAGAGGAAAACTTTGGGGGGGGAATTTTGATGAGGCACATTTTCCCTGGCATTGATTCAGCTTCTCTGTGCAGAGTCTTCAGAGACTTGATTATTTTTTCCTTATGAGTGCAGCTACAGAGATAAAGGAGCAGGACAGCGGTTGTCCTCGCTGGTGCTGACTTCGGTCTTTAGCGATCCCCTGTGCGCCGTTCGAGGGCAAGTGGCAGGCCACAGCTCCGCTGGCTGGACGGGGTGTGCTGGCCTGTGTGTGGACTGTGCCCTCCTCTGAGGAGACCTGTCATGTTGGTAAAAGCAGCTGTCTGCGTTGTGCCTCCCTGGTCAGGATTGCGGACATTACAGTGGAAAGAATGGCCAGACTCTCTGTGACGATGAGCCCACGTTTTCTCACTTGACCAGAGAGAGAGAGTTGAATGGTGAGGGAGTAGGCCAGCCAGCTGAAGAAAAGCCAACTCTGCCAAGGCAGTTATCAAGGCATGGCAGGGCAGGCCAGCTGATATTCAGGGCGCTGAACATCTTCGATGTTGTTCTTTCTTGGAACTAAACCATGAACTAGTTTTCTTTGTCTCTCTGTTGTACATTTTGTATGCTTCTGTCCTTCATGAAATTTCTGCTTTACTGGGCCTCATCTTTGAAACATTCTTCAATTCTCTCTCGCGTTCGCAGATTCTTCCTATGAATAACACAGCTGCAATTAGTGCCACTATCTCAGCCTCAGAATAAAACTTAAGACTCTGTATTATTCTTTTGCTATAAGTTAAAGTATTTAAGAATTTAAATACTTACTAAGTATAGTATACCAAATATACTTAATAAGTATTTAAGGTTTATTTGAAGAGATTTCCTGTGTTACTGAACTTAAAAGGCCTCTTTCTTCTCATTTAAGCACGGTGTACATTACTATAATGTGTAAATGTTGAAGCACCCATTACATTATCTTGTCTCTTTTTTCCCCCTTGACTCTGTAGTCTGATGCAGTTGTTGCTATATATAAGTAAAAGCCAGTAATCTCCATTATTCATGCCAAGCTTGTTCCCCGCAGAACCAGCATGTTTTTTTTTACTCCTTCCAGCATCATAGCTACGATCTTGTCAGCTGTGCTTTCGGCTATGAGCTTTAATGGCCAATAAGAGCACTGCTGTGTGAATTAGCAGCTTTTCAGAACAGCCTCAGGAATTCACTGCTGCTGATCCCTGTTCCAGCTTTGCCTGCCAGTGTTTTCCTGGGATGAAACCACATTTCAGAATGTGAAAAAAGGCAGGGGCTTCACCATGTGAGTTGCTTTTGATGCATTCTTTAAAAAAAAAAAAACATGCATTGATGAATCAGCTTCTTGAACTGATAAAGAAGCAACTGATGAACCATAAAACTCAGAGCTTTGGGTTGCTGATGTTTCCCTGACCCCAGTCAGTGCAGAGCAGACTAACCCACATGTATCTTCAATCATACGCAGAGTCTTGGAATAAGACTGGGATGCAGTGGACACATTTGTCTGGTTAAAGCTCATACATTGAAATAGAATTCGGTGCTCAGTTAGAATAATAGAGACTACAGTACTAACAGTAAATAATATTGGTAGATAGATACATTGCCCCGGCTTCATCAGGCTCATGATCGGGCTTTAGCATTAAACTGTGCAGCAGCATTTTTACTTTATTGGCAGACGTGTGTGATTGCAGAGGCTTGTCACTGGAGGTGTGTTGGACTGGACCGGTCTGGCCTGAAGCAGCCTTCTGATGTATGACCCCTAAGGAGCGGGGGGGGGGGGAGATGCATTGAGAATTCAGAAGCTCCATTTTAAAGTAAGCAGTCTGTTGCCTGGTTTTCAGACCTGAATTAATGAGCACCCTGGTGTTGCAGTGTGGGAACAGACTGTTCACATGGGCAATGTGCTTCTCCAGAGAAGATGCTATCAGAATATACAAGCGTTGGAACTAGCTCATGCAAAAGCAGTGATAGGAGTAAAGTACTGTACTGTTTTACACCACTCGAGATATGACATGTTCTTATCTGCGGTGTCATAATCTGTAGAGGCAGGTTGAAAACAGGGATTTGGGGCAGTTTTATTTGTAGACAGTTTGAATCTACACAGGATGCCGGGTTATTGTTTTAATACTCTTAGTGTGTCTGATGATTAATTCAAGAATGAAACTGCTGTTGTAGTTCTGCAGAAATTTGCCACTTTGAACATTTCTGAAGCAACAATAATGCTGGGCATGCTTTGCTGTCCTGCGTTGCTAATTTTGCACTGGAGTGCCTTGCAATAACAGGATGTGGATATCGCACTGTGATTTTTGTTGTTGTTTTAGATCAAAGCCGAGGTGCTGTTAGAAAAGGAAAATGAATCTTAAAGGAAAGACAAATTGTTGTACGCTCTCCTATTTGTTTCAGTTTTGACATCAGTCTCTTAAGGACAGAAGGAGCACTATAGTTATCTGTTGTGTGCCTCAGGATGCAGCACATCACTGTGAAGGGGAAGTGGAGGTTTCATGTAAAAACTGCTGCACAGGGACTGTTTACAAATAGCAGGTGCTGATCTGTCTTGTTTCCCTCCTCAGAAAAAAGGATGTGCTTCACCACCATGACATATGGCGGTTGTGCCACTTCATAAGTCATCTGGGTGAGAAGGACATTTGTCACCCCTCCTCGGAGATCCAGGCATTAATTTGAGCCATGTATTCTCCGATACTTCCTGACTCAAGACGGCTTCTTGAGAAATCACACACAGGCTGTCTACAGTATGAAAACCCCAAGATGATTAGTTATTGAATTTGTCATGGGGCAGCATTTACAGCGTCAAAGCACTGCAAGTACAGCTCAGATGATAAAGAGATAACATTCAGACCTCTGCAAGTATAACAGTTTGAATCTCGGGGCGATCCGAGATGTGGGGCGACAGCACAGCCCTTTCAATCCGCTCCCTGTGTCCCAGTTCACAGCCGCTGTCGTCACAGCCCCTTCCCTGCGCTCGCCGCTGCCCCCTGGGGGCTCGTCCTAGACTGTGATGGAGCTCTCCAGTCGGCTCCGGATGACTGCTTTGGGAATATTGCAGCTCTGTCTTCATGTCTCTAAAGACTAAGGCAGCAGTGGAAACGCTGCTCCAGGCTTGCCTGTTCGGTCGGAGTTTGCGTGGGTGTTTTTGAACCAGCTGAATACTGGTATTCAGCAGAGAAAAAAGCCCTCATTATCTGAGCCTGTTTTGAAGTGGCCTGTTCCTGTGAGTGTGTCGCCCGGTGTGTCTCCAGTGGAGAGGTACAGAGTTGTGTGCACTGCGGAGGGGCTGTGTTTTCACTTGTTGGTTGTGGAGTCAGTTATATCTCGTCTCGAGGAAGAGACGAGCAGATGTGTGCGTTTGTAGGATTCTTTACTGTCAAGTCTATACCGGCCAGCAGCCAAGGAATTCGATTAACTGCTCAAGCTGTTCCCTCATCTCCCACTGGGGATGTAGCTGTTCCAGATTACGCTTTGCTGTCGATCCACACCAGTGTCTCTGCAGGTGCTCTCGGTGCTGTCCTCCGCAGCCTCGGCGACTGCTTT